ATAAAGAAAAGTCAATGCTCAGTAAGCCCTTTAACAAAGCAAACAATTCAGCTTTTTATGACATTAGCAAATAATAAAGAAAAGATCTGACATTTACACTTGATGAAATTTTATGCTATAACAGAGATGAAGAAAATGGAATGGAAATCACACATGATAAAACTTGTCCATGAAATTCAGATGGGTCTGAAGAATAACTGCTGCTAAATATTTTGGGAGTTCTCTTACTTAAGAGAGGCCCATATTTTACTGGAAAAATTGGTCCTTAAAAATCTGTTCTTCGACACAGACTAAATATCCTATTTAGTTTGAGTCATTCTAGCAAAGTAATAATGAGGGTCTTTGGGGGATTTATTCATGCAAGGAAGAAAGCAAAGGAACGTGGTATAGCAATAGTCAAATAAAGGTTTGTAGGATTTAGAATCGATTCAGTATAGCAGACAGGAAATAGATTTAGTTTTCTTGAAAACTTCTGGTAAATGTTCTTGGAATTTGTGTTTAATCAACTGGATTTTGAACTCAAAGTATTTTATATTTAGTGTTGGTCTGAAGTTTCAGCTCATGTGCCTGTGGCTGTGTTTTCTGGTGTTGGAATATTACATATATTGCTAAGAGAAGTTATGCATATTAACTTATTGTGGTGAACTATATTTAAAGTTAATTCACCCATTTCCACAGATGAGATCACTAAATATAAATATAAAAACTGCATATAAATAGCACAGACAAGACCTAAACCTGAGGTGAGCACCTTCATTTAAATAATAAATGAAATTGATTAAATATCAGATTTATTTAACTAGACTTTTGAGCAGAGTTCAGAGGCTGGCTTTCCTCATCTGCTTTGTTAGTATCATGATGACACAGAGTCGCAGAACCAGGTATCCAGCTCATACATAAAGCAGTACCGAGCATATTAAAGGAAGATAACTGCTAGTCTGATATCATGAATCAGAGCTTATCTGATCAACTCACCAGTCTAAAATAATAAAAAAAAAAACAATAAAACATATTCAGTACTGGAATACTAAAGAATAAATTAAATGAACATTCTGGACAATCTTATTTTATTTGCTTGCTTTACTTCTGACTATGTCACAAAAATCAGTTCCATGGTAATTGTGTATGCATAAGGTTACACAATTGTGTACGGTAACTGTGTATGCATAATGTATGCATTAATGTGCAAATTATTAATAAATTGCCATTTTAAGAACATTTTTAAAATTGTCATTCTCTCCTGTGGGAAAGTTTATCTTTTCAAAACTTCCCCTTCAATGTCAAACCCAACAGAATTTAGTCCTTAATAGAAATGATGCATGGATATTTTTTCTCTTTGTATCTGCATATTGACAGGGGACAATATGGACATAAAAGACTGAAATGTGGTTGATGTTTAAAAAAAACAAACAAACAAAGACCAACAAAAAATCTCCATCACAAAGCTAAATTTACACTAAAAGTGTTTTGTTATAGTACAAAAATGGCAAATAACCAAAAACAAACTAGTGGAGTATATGTATAGCAAGTATGGTGTTTCTCAAAGTTGTCATCAATTAAAAAAAAAAAAAGGTTATAAGCAGATAAATATGATGTTTAAAAACAAATGTATGTGAAAGTAATGGGAGGTAGAAGGGTCAGAGATGATATGGTTTACATTGCAGAACTCATTAAGATTTTGGTGTCTAGCATGGTGTGCCTCTGCCAGGTTCTCGAGGAATGCACATGATATTCGGCTGGGAAAAGACATTAGATTTAGCCATGGAGAAGAATTATGGGCCAGGAGCTCCTGGCTCTTAATTTTTAGCCCTGACACTGGCTCCTTCAGTTATGCTGGACAACTCATAACTGCTCAGATGCATTTTCCTTATTATTTGAAGGCAGTAACAGGTTACTTAATTATCTTTACAGAGATTGGATCTTTAAAATAAATCATGCAGTTGGTCCAACTTGTCATTGTTAGGACAGAGCAGAGAATATTTAGACCACTAGTTTTTAGAAGTCTTCCTATGCAAAAAAGGAATACCTCCAAAAAGGTTATTTTTAATTGTGTATTTAAGGACAAAAAAAAGAGAATATTTTTGAGAAGTTAAACAGCAGGTTTCAGCTGTATCATTCTCTTTAAATGATCCTTTTAAAATAGGAGACAAAACAAGAAAGGTATCCTGAGAAGTGGTACCACACTATTTTCATGTTGATTGCAATAAGTGCTGAGAGTAGAGTGCATTCAGTGTAAAAATCAATGTCTGTCAGGGGGAAAAAAAAAAAAAAAATAGAGGAGGGGAAAAAAGCAGCACAAAGACGTAGAGATTTATCCTTTAAGTGCCTCTCCGGGAACAAAGACATGCCCAGCAAGGGCAGGAGCAGAGGCTGCAAAGGAAGGATGTGGACAATAGCAAGGCTATCGCAGGGTGAAAGGGGAATGCACCAGGAAGAGCATCGGGAGGGAACATCTTCATTAATTTTATCATGTATTTACTTTCCTAAATCTTCTTGTGTGTTCATTCAACCTTGATCCCATTCTGTGATACCTGTGCAGATTTATAGCAAACATCTCCCTTCAGGATGGTGAAAAAGAGATAAGTCTGAATTGTAAAAGGAAAAAAAAAAAAAAGGAGATAAAAACCCAAAACAAACAGGGGAAAAAAAAAAAGAACAACACAAAGGAATGAAGCAAGGTACAGAGCTATCATCATTGGTACAGCCTGATAGTACCTGAAACTGATATTCACAAAACCCAGGTACAATATAACCAAATTACTCCAATACTCTCTCACTAGAGAAATCTTTTCCCTTTCTTCTTCAGAAAAACCTTTCCTCAGAATAATTATTAAGGCAGGCCTAGGGAACTGTGTTCATTTCAGAGCTTTCATTTTTAGAAAGGCTGTTTAATATTTATATAAAGCTCATGTTAAGTTTATGCACCTGTCAAAATACTAAATTATATGATAGTGATTGCAAAATGAGCTATTTATCAGACAGATGTCTCTACCAAACCTGGAGTACGTAGACACGGAGGGGCAGAGCCTCTCTCACTGTATTTACAGCCTGCCTGGGACGGGATGTGGTTAACCCTGCTGGCTCCAATGGCTGGGTGGGGTGAATGAGCCCCACTGAATGAGGAGATATCACACTAAAAATTGGTTGATCTTATTATCATTATTATTATTATTATTATTATTTTGAGTAACAGGTTGTGAAGCACAAGTAGCTGTTCTATCGTGTGGCTTACCTTTGTGTTTCCTGCAATGTTCTTCAAAAGTTGCCTTGTTCTGACACAGCGTGGCTCCTTTCCCCTTTCTCCAGCTGTGGCCTTAAGAGGGAAATAATGACAGGATACATTTTAAGTGGAAGACAGATGTTCTCACAAAATAAATCTATAATCAACAGCATTGTAAAATAATGCTTGGAGATGTTAAAAAGTCTGACCCCAGCCAGCTGTAAATCACAACTGAAATGTGTTGTTTGTCACTGCTGGCATGGGTCAAGGTGTCAGGAGCACATGTGCAGGGGCAGAGCTGAAGTGAAAGGTCATAGCAGGACAGGATGGAGACATGACACGTTGAGGAACACAGGGCAGGCGTAATACCACTACCAGCATGAGGTTGAAGTAGTTTGCTGTAGCTTTCCCCACATATCTCTTGTGTTTGCTGTTTTTTTGCATGATCTCCAATTGCCTTGGAGCCACCCAGGCTTGTGTTTTCCTCTGAGCAGTGGCTGCTGGGCTGTGCTGCTAAGAAACATACAGTGCCTTGCTTTCATCCTGTAATGGGCAGTTCCTGTGCATCAGAAACCCTGCCTATAAGAAATCTGGGTATATGGTAAATAAACAAGCAAACAAAAAAAAAAATGTTGGTCCCAGAACGTAGCACCTTGGCTGCAGAGGGCCAGACTTCTCTTACAGTAACTCAAAGAAAAGTTCGACATCTTTGTGGTCAAAATAATCTTGTTCTGCTTTCTGAAATAAATAAGTGAAAGTATGAAGAATAAGCTGCATGGTCTTTATTCTGCTTTGGAGAGAAATGTTGTGTTAGTACAACTAGGACTCTCTAATCCCTGATATAATGAACTCCACTGATCTGAACAGGTGGATATCACAGTTGCTGCTTTTCAGCAACACTGCACTTCCTGCAACATCAAAGGAACAAAATTTCATTTACTGGAGTAAAAAATAAGGAAAGAGAGGAGGTAAACTAACTGAATTCCTCCCTCAAATGTTTGCTACTAGCTTCCTTGAAAATTCATGCACTCAGTAACCAAGAAGGGAACCAGCAGCCACTATCTGGCTGGCAGATCATCATCCACGTTAGTTAACTAATATGGATGGCAAAAACTGGTAAAACTTGGAACCATGCGTTGTTTTTTTTGTTGTTGTTTGTTTTTTTTTTTTTTTTTTGAGTTCTTTCATTCAAAAGCCATTACTGTATTTTTACAAAGTATTAAAATATCACCACAATAGGTAAAATGCTCTGCATTTCACTTGTGCTTTGTACTCACTCCAGTTACTTAACTCATAAATTAGGTACGCTGGGGAGAAAAATAGTTTTTTTACTCAGTTTGCATTTGTTTTGATTTTGTGTGATGGATTATGAATTACCATGCTACTGATATACCTATGCAAAAATATAATGCAATAGATGTCTAATTATGACCTGAAATGAAAATGAGTTATAACTCCTCATGATACTTCTTACGATTTGCTGCATTATAAATAACAGTGATTTATTATTGTTTCACCTACTGCTCTGCTAGTGATGGATCATAATAGTAGATCATCATAATTTTGAAATCAGAACAGAGCTGTTTTTTCTTCCATATAATTCAATTTTAACTCCACTACAGAGGTTGTTGAGTATCACAATCCATCTACTTTATGTTACGTTTTATTAGAAAGAAGATATGTTAATATATTTGGTAGCTATTCATTACTAACATCTGTTTATTAGACTTCTCTATTAAACTGTCCAACATACCTTTTGATATGCTCATTATGTTTTCAGCACGACCCACATGACAACTACTGAGAAAAACAGATGACCCTGGACCAATGTTGAAATGAAGACTTCTTCTGTATGTGCTTTTTGTTTAAAGCAAAACTGCTGTAGTGCTATTTTAAGTTTGCAAGTCAGCATGCTCTTAGCTCCATAGTATTCTGTGGTTTGACGAGACCCTTCATTTTGTAGTCACATTGGGTTGCTGGTACCACTTTACATTCTTTTATTCCCTGTTTTGTCCCCCTGTTAATGAGGTTTTGATGGTTCCACAACCTGTGCTCCCTTCTCCTGACAGGCTCCAGCACAGGATGGCAGCGGGCCTACCGTAGCTGATGGGTGGCTGAAGCAAAAATATCCCTGGCAGCTAATAAAAAGCTCATGTTTGCAACCAAGTCCATTCCACAGGGAGCAAACAGCCCCACCAGGAGAAGAGCAGGAGCTGGCAGGTGTTTCCAGGGAACAGATCAGGTGCCATGGCACACAACTCTCACCAGTGACAGACTCTTTTTCAACATTTCCTCCATCTACAAATACGAGGCTGTGTCCTTCAAAAATCTCTTTCATTTTAATTACCTCATTCATTCAGCTCACGGCTGTGTCCCCAGGCCCTCCTGTGCCTCTGCAGCTCCACAGAGAGCAGGGCACCCACTGTGTACACCCCACCCTGCCTCTGGTGGCAAAGACAAGGAGTGAGCTTTTGGAAGCACGCCTGTAAGGGTGTCCACAGGGTGTGGGCCATGTGTGCACATCCTTCTGTGAGTGTTGAAACCTCAGCTGATGTTAGAAAAAGGAGAGAAATACAGACAGCCTGTGGTGAAGGAATGTTTGGTTTTTAGTGTGTGTACAATTACTTAAAAAAAAAAAAGTGTTTAGGGGATCTCTGTTTGACATGTGGGTTTACACCATTGGTGAATAAATTCAATGTCAGGTGATAACCTTCCTCATAATTCCAGCCTCTAGCTGACGTTGCTGGATGCTGCAGAAGGGAGATCTCTGCATCTAGGGTTCATCTTCTTTCCCTACCCTGTGCTTGTCCACAAGCCTTTTTTTTTTTTTTTTTTTTTTTTTTGTGTGCGTGTGTTTTGGTTTTGTTTTGGTTGTTTGTTTGAAATCATTTCTGCAAGCATATTGCAGTCTATAAAATGTTTTAAAATTCTTTCCTGGTTGTTTGCATTTCTAAACTGGAGGTCTTCTGCCTGGACGTAACACCACCTACAATTCCCTAACACCCTCTGTGGAGTAGTTACTTCTTAAATAGGGATGCATGAATATTTATGATGCAAAGTGCATTTTCTCTGAATATTCTGCAACATCAGTTAAAAGTATTTTTATGACTGTTTCTACCATCGACTTGTAAATGTATGGAAAGCAGGCACAAAGTAATTGTTTGGCTGCATTCACTCATCCTCTTTTGTAACAGTTCCTGTCACCTAATAGCTGGTAGGAGACTGCAAAGAGACAGAGGGGCACAGAACCAAGCTATCGAGGTCCACTGGCAACCCACATGTGAGAATAGAAACCAAATCGCAGCTTTGCAAGAGCCTAAGAAAAGGGATGGGAGCAGGGTGGGACGGGGTGTCCCCCCTTTGTCACAAGGTGACCCCTTCTAATTACACCTGGATAAGACATTAGGGCAAAAGAAATCATTCTGTATTGTGGTTGTCCAATTTATGTACTCTCAAGAGGATTAGCTGTCCATCGCTACAGCTATTTTTGGCATATTCCACAGCTGCTAATTTCATTAAATAGCCCTGAGAAGGGAGTGTGTTAGCGGTCAATATAGTTTCACATTTTTCTTTCCCATTACTATTTTTCTTAGACTTATCCTTTGCACAGAAAGGAAATGCACATGAAGCTTATCCAGTTCTTGGTTATTGAGGAATAAATAATTTTGAGCATTGAAAAACTTTCACAGAAGACCAACTTTATTGGACCTTAGAAATCAGGGAAGAAATTAATAAGTAAAATGAAAAAAAAAAAAACCACAAAACAAAACAAACAAAAAACCAGAAAAGCCTAGAAGCATGATTAAAATGTGTGTGTGTATATATATATATATTCAGTCTTAAAGCTCCTGCTTTACAACTGAATAAATAACTCCTTGAGCAATAATTTATTTGCATGCTGTTAATTAGAAGCATAATTAATTTTTGTAGATTATAAATAATGGTGTGCAAAATGTCATTCCCAGCAGATCAAATGGAAATAATATAAACATTCTTAAAAACCCAAGAATAGCTTGCAATGAAACTGATTTAAATTAGTTATGATTTTTTGTAATATCTTGTACTAATGAAAACTATAAATTTCTGTCTGAAGTTGGTAATTTATTGGCAAAATGCACGGGTTCATTAATCATTCTGCTTTCTCTTATACTTGGCACATATGGAAGGAAAATCTCTATGTTTATAACTGCTTCAAATAAACAGTAGCATAAGTAGATTATTCCCAACAGAAAGATTTTTCCCACACCCTAATCTCAGAGCAATCATTCACTGATCTAAATGAGCAGTTACTTAAACCGCTAAGAAGGGATGCTAATTAGCTAAGGAAAACTAGGCAAGAGTATTTAATTTAAAAAAAAAAAAAAATCCATTTGTTTTCCTGCTATCTTGTTTCTAATGTATTATTTACTTTCATTTTGCTTGGATGCTGTCTCCATGACAATATCATACTTAGTTGTGTCTTCTCAGGAGGACAAGTTCTTACAAACTCCTCCACTCTGAAGCTTGTTTTTTGTAGCCTCCACTCAACTGTGGCTACACCTCTCACCTCCCAGTTAATTTACTTATGTATCAGTGCATAAATGGGAATGAACGTGTGCTTACTTTGCTCTCTGCAAGGAGGGAGGTTGGATTTGGGTCTACCTGGACTCTAAAGGCTTTAAGATTTGTGAACAGTTTAGTTTTTCTTTAGATGTTTCATGCCTCCAGGTCCGAATACCATTTGGACAAGCTATGCACCTAAAATGAAATATCCTTCAGATTTTAATGCAAAACAGAAATCTGCAGTGTGTGATGCACAAATGACATCAATGCTCTGCTGTTCTTGTAGGTAATGTTGGATTTCTGGCTAAAGAAAACAAAAGCTGCTATAAAGCTGGATGATTATTCAGATTTATTAGATCTTCTCTGATGAGGTGTCTCAGCAGCCTGTGAGGGATGTCCCACAGACCTGCCCAGCTGTTCACCATCAGATCCTGGCAGCTTCCTCTGTGATCTGGTCAGTGGTAATAATGAGGGCACTCAAGGGACATAAGGAAGGACTTTTTCCCCAGTCCATGGGCATCCTTGTTCCTATGGTCTGTCCAGGGCAGAATGGTGCCCCTCTTTCACACCTCCAGCAAAGCTGGCGTTAGAAGGTTTTGGGTTTTGGTTGCTGATGCCACGCAATTGATGCTTATGTGTTAACCCTTGGTGAAGTACATCTGTGTGTAAGTAAAACAGCCGTAACGGCTTCTGCCATAAGATTTCTGACGTTCCTGGTTGGCCATAACAGTAGATTTTGGTGCCTGAGGTGTTGCTCCACACCAGCTTTGCACTGCTAGCTGCTTTGCTGCTGTCATGGAGTCAAGCTGGTGTGCAACTGGAGCTGTATCCTGCAGAGGCTGGTCATCTCATTTACTGCTGGCTGTTGTCCTCAGTACTGGGAGGCTCTGATAGTAGATATCATATGAAAAAGGGACAATAATCAACAGAAAGTAAAGGCAACCCAACATTTTCATGGCTTAGGGACTTGTTTTCAGCTTTTGGCTTCATTTTATCCTGCCCTTTGACTTTTCAGTGTTAAGAGATGTAAGGAAGGATATTTCATGGAAAATATATGGCTATTGTCAATAGTCAGCTAATGGCTGCAGGCAAGCTTTCAGATTTTAAATTTATGTATTTATTCCATTAAAAATGAAATGATCCTACAGAAGGGAGAGGCACTGAACAACAACAACACCACTCCTGCATGGATGGAGCATATTGGATATGGATGAAATTCTTGAACTGTCTTACATGCCATCTCAAGCTTTCATCCTTGCCTCTGATTCTAGCAGATATGCAATACTATATAGAGCTGATGCCATTTAAGATATGGCTTATTTCCACTTAGTAAATTGTTTTCCCAATATATGCTCTTTTGCAAATAAAAGAATCCAAATCTCTCATTCTCTCTCTCTCTCAGCATTAATTTTTCAGCTAGAATTTTAATATGTTATTTAAAGACATTTTCAGGATTGTTGTCATAGACAAAGTTCTAACAGACCTAGCTGTTAGAGATCTTGCTGATATTTCTAGATGGCTGCAAAAACTGTGCCTGAACAGTAGAAGCACAGCTGAATACTGTTGAACCCAGTAAAATACATCAAGTGTATTCCTGTGTGCAGAGATTAAAAATTGCACATACGTAAAATGTTTAGACTGGTCTTTGTTTTGTCTGAGAGATGCGATTCACCAGTTTGGCATTCTGTTGAGCATCATTGTGGAGCTTTGATGTATTCCCCATTAAAATGCATGTGCTTTACTTCTGGAGGATTGATGAGAGGTGGAAAAATTGAAGACATAGTAGAAAGAAAACAGAAAAAGAAAGAATTCTCGTAGGCTACATAGACACAATTCATGTCAACATGTGAATAAATACTTCATGTACCTATCGCTAGACACAAAACACCGACACTTCAGTGCTCTGCTGCATTTTGTCTATAAAATGACTAGCTTAGAAAATTGTTCCAAGCAAGATGTATTCAAAAATAATGCTTTTGTGTTCAGAGCAACTGTGTTTGGTTATCTCTGATTATGGGTTCTGTTCTTAACTCTGCCATAGGCTTATTGTAAGATCTTTTTTAAAAATGGAAAAAACCAAAAACATAAACACAACAAAAACAAACAAACAAACACCACCACCACCAACAAAAAAACTATTATTCTCTATTGGTAAAATGAGAATAAAAATACGATTAGACATGAAAACAAGTGCTATTTAATAAAGATTAAATAAATAAATAGGCATGGGACCTGAATACACAGACACTAAGAATAAATTGTTTTATGACACATACCTTCACCTACGTAGTAAAATTGCTATGAAAACTATAAGAAAAAAATAAGGATTGTATTGAGAAAGTATCCACACAACTTGTGTTTTAGCAGGAGTATTATTTTAAATCCTGACCTCCAGATTAAATTTGTCATTGGATAGATGCACAGTTTTATTTAGTAATATACAGAAATAATTGAGAAAGGGAAGATTCAGAGCCATGTGACTGAAAGCATGAAAAGCCCCCCCAAAGCCTTTCATGTTATCATCTTTGAATAGTGCTTTGGTCTTTTGTTCCTCTTATGATAGATGATGCTTTAGTATTGCAATGACAGTGAAGCTTTTACCCTAAATTGCAGGGGGAAAAAAAAGTTAACAGAGATTAAATATATGTTCACTTACCCACAAAATCTTTTTATAATGCTAGATACCACTGATAGTCTCTTCATCTGCTACTGATGATGTATTACTTATGTATGACTGCTTTCCCTCATGTCACAGTTAAATATCATGAGCTGTGTACTATGGGGAGGGGAAAAAAAAAGTTAAACTTGTTTTAGGAAAATAATTAGATTTGGAAAATATCACAAAATAGCACCATAATGAACTATTTCAGTAAAATGTGGACAATGGATTCTTATAGAGATATATTTATCAGCTCTGATTTATTTATTTTTATTCTGAATTATAGTTATTTTTTAGTATTCTCTGCCTGACTCTACAAATTTTATTCTACATTCAAGAAGCTTTAGTGAATCCAAACTTTTATACAAGTTAAAAATCACTGAATCTGGCCTATGCTACAGGGTTACACTTTATTAAACTGCACTGGAGAATATTCTGCACTGGCTATGTGTTTCGCTGGGGTAACCACTGCAGTCACCCAGATGTTACTTAGGTTGAATCAAATGCAGGGTGTTAACAATTTGATTTTTTTTCATTGATTTTACAGACTTTCTGCTACTTCTTATAGATACATTCTTTTTTGTTTGTTTGTTTGTTTTTCTTGTCTGTTATTTATTTATTTTTTTAAATAAAATGAGGGAGGCATATACTGCTAAGTGCTGTCAGCTGTTGTAGCTGGGCTATGTGCCCTAATCTGAAAGAACCACAAAAGGAAAGTCTTTAAAAGCAGGGAATTCAGCTGCAGTCTATTCCCTGATGGCAAACTGGTATGTTCTTGTAGGTGGTTGTCACCTTTTGACCATGATGTTTAAAAATTACAGAGAAGTAGAAGAAAACAGGGTTTAACAGGCTCATATTGGAGAAATGTTTTATAAGAATGATGAGCTTGTTTGATTTGTACATAATAAGCACCAGGTGCCACACCATATGTGTAAGCTGTGTTACTCATGATCCTGAGTTTCAGGAAAATCATTGTGCCTGGCCTCTTGTTTTCCTGAATTAGTTTAGTCTAAGCTTCAGATGGATGACAAAACCTCCAAAATATTTCAGATTCAACCATAACCACTGCCCAGGAAAAGATAATATAGATACAGGTAATAATGCATTCAAAGCAAAATCCCTGAAGCTTGTGGATCTGCTTAAATCTGGGGATTTATATTTTGTTTGTGTTTAAGGCATTATATGAATGATATAATCCACTATATGAATAGCAAATTATGTTTATGGAAATATTTGTATTTTATATATATTAGAGCATCTTTCTTGGCATCTAAATGCAAAACAACTTCATTTTTACTGAGATGACATGGTCATGAATAGGAGATATTGAGCAATAGAATAGGTAATGACCCAAATGTAATAGTTGCCTTTAGATATACGGCCATGTTTACAGAGATTATGAGAAGACTTCATGCACTTCAGTGCAATTTACTAAATACAATGTGGGATGAAATTGCTGTTGTTGGAGCACAGGACAGTTTTAGAAATGAGTAGCTTAGGGGGAAAAAGCCTTATGTATTCACCTGGAACAGAAAGCATTAGTATATTTAGATGA